AGTTGGAGGTGACCAGGCCAGCAGGGGGGGCAGTTGTGGGTGACCAGGCCGGCGGGGGGGGGGGGCAGTTAGGGACAACCAGGTCAGCAGAGGGGGGCAGTTGGGGGTGACCAGGCCAGCAGGGGGGGCAGTAAGGGGTGACCAGGCTGGCAGGGAGGGGGCAGTTGGGGCAACCTGGCTGGCAGCGGGGGGCAGTTAGGGGTGATCAGGCCGGCACACAGAGACAGTGAGGGGCAATCAGGCCAGCGGGAGGGGCAGGAGGGCAGTTAGGGTGACCAGGCAGGCAGGCAGGTGAGCGATTAGGAGCCAGTGGTCCAGGATTGTGAGAAGGATGTCCTACTGCCATTCCCAGGGATCGGGCCTAAACTGGCAGTCGGACATCCCCCAAGGGGTCCCAGATTGGAGAGGGTGCAGGCTGGGCTGAGGGGACGCCACCCCCCGCCCCATGCACGAATTTCATGCACGAGGCCTCTAGTATTGCATAATATTTTAGTACATTCTGAAATAATATTTCACAAGATCTGAAAGCTTGCTTTTAACCAAAGCAACTATCTTCTGAAGTGAAAAATTAAGTTGTTTTCGACAGTTTAATTATGGCCTTTGAGATGCTGTATATGTACCCTTATGACATGAATGTGAAATGATTTCATGCCATAAAAAAGCCCAGTCAACAAGTCAGATACAGCAAGATAGGTCCTAGTGCTATCTGATCACCCTTCTCTGAGCTGATGACATTTCAAATGTAGTGGAATTATCCTGGGCTTTTAATATACATCAACCTGGTTTCTTTTCTCAGGGTAAATGTGTCTGTAAAATATAGATATTAATGTGAACATCAAGGGATAGTTGTGAAAATTAAATGAAGTAACAAATATAAAGCATCTGGCACATGAAAGAAATTCAGTAAATGTTACTTCCATTTGTCCTTCATTAATTCAAAATTTAAACATTAGCTGGCCCATCAAAAAAAAAAAGACTACTAAGAGATGATGTTCCTTGAAAATTCCTGTTCCTCTTTTGCTGGGTGTTGATTGTAATAATAAAGAATATTTATATTAATTGATTGTTTTTAGAAATGTTTCTCTAGCTTATACAATAAAACTCTTTTTAAAGAAATGAATAATGTTATCATTTTCATAGAAAATAAAACAATACCACTATACCACATCCACAACTTGCAAGTTTAGCTAATTATACAATATATTCAACGTCTGGAAAGGTTAGAGTAAATACACACTAAAATGAATCATTATAAGCATGTCAAAAGCTAACATTTAACTACTTTAAGTTCCTCATCACTAACATAATAATTTGTTCTAAAGGTAACAGTGTTAATTCTCCTCAACCAAACTACAAGAGACAGTCTGCATTATGTAGTTTGATTTGTAGTTCAAAACTGAAGAAAGCATGGAAACAACAATTAGCATAAATTTTGTTTCCTGTCGTCAGTTTTTGGTTTATTCATAGCTAGCAGTTTAAGGAAGAAAAGAGTACATTGTCAACTTCTTTTGTATGGCTAAGCCAGGGTATATTGATCCAGGAAGTTAAGGAACAAGATAGCAGGAATATGTTTTCATATAGCAGGTGAAATAGAGCCATAAACATGAATTCCTGAGTAATAATTAACAGTGAATTGAACAATTATGGGTGTAATATACCATTCATGATAGATGTGCTTACAAGGATATTTGTTTTGTAGTTGCTTTATGAGTCACGCATAGAAGCTTTATATTTGTAAAGGTTAGTTGCCACTGTTATAAAATGTGTCTTATAGAGACTGAACTTCTATTTGAGTAATTACATACATACTGAAAGAACACAGTGTAATAATCATCATATTTAGTTTTAGAAACCCACATGTGGAAGGTGGTCTCCCTTGTGGTTCAAGGGCAAGAGAAGGCTAAGACTTTAAAAATACATATTCAAGTATTGTCTGTGGAGTTCATACTATTTGTGATAAAACTGGTGTCCTACAGATAGAACACAGTTACTCTGTAAATCAATTTATCCACCCACCTTTTGTTCCATGTTACATGGTTATTTTGCTATTTAAATAAGGAATATTTATTCTGGAAAAAAATTAAGTTTACATATAAAGCATTTCTAATGAATTATCCAGTTAAAATTCTTTAATTACATCAACATTCTATTCCTGTTACACTACATTTTATTTAATGGACTTGTTGGTATTTGAGAGTGTGTGCATGTGTGTATGAACTGCATGTGAGTGTACTAGTATATACACATGTACTGTGTGTGTGTGTGTGTGTGTGTGTGTGTACATGTATATGAACATTAGCATATATCTGTTCCTTGAAAAATCCTATTTCTATTTACTGGATTATTTTAATTCTGAAAAATATTTTCTAAAGGAAAAAAAATGTTTTACTTGGCCATGGAAAATAATTACTAGGCCATAAAAAAGTGATTCTAGCCCTAGCCGGTTTGGCTCAGTGGATAGAGTATCAGCCTGCGGATTGAAGGGTACCAGGTTTGATTCTGGTCAAGGGCACATAAAGGTTACAGGCTCGATCCCTGGCGCTGGTCAGGGTGCGTACGGGAGGCAACCAATCGATGTGTCTCTCTCATATCAATGTTTTTCTCTCTCTGTCTCTCCCCCTCCCTTCCACTCTCTCTAAAAATCAATGGAAAAATATCCTCAGGTGAGGATTAACAACAAAAAAAATTTTTTTAAGTGATTCTAGCCCAGCCAGTATTGACCTATAAACCAGGAGGTCATGGTTCGATTTCCCAATCAGGGCACATGCCAGAGTTGTAGGCTCAATCCCCCAGTGGGGGGGGGGGGGGGGGGGAAGAGGCAACAAAACAAAGAATCTCTCTCTCTCAATAATGAAAATTTTAACCCCCTCTCTTCCCGGGGGGAAAAAAAAAAAAAATTTTTTAAAGGGGTTCTTGCCCAAAATAGGATTGAATTCCCGAGGTATAGAAAAATCTCATGTTTACCATGGTTTTGCGGACCCTCCACATGGCAACCAAGTTCCCTCAAAACATTTAGAGTCTTTTCAGCTCTCGGGCGCAGCGAGAATTCTGACCGCCAAACTCCAAAATGCGGTTGTTTTTCACTGAGCGACCATTACACTTTAATGGGCATTTAAATACGGG